ATTATTAAATCCAGCTTGTCTTAACATTGTTTTTAAAATCATTGCATTAACCTTGTTATCCTATAAGAGTCATAAATCAAAATAAAGGTCAATAATGCTTGTGCATAAAAGTAATTAAAGTACTTGACATAAAGAAACGCAACCTCAACGACAAGGAAAGATATATCCTTCAGAGACTTGTTCTCTTCAGTTTCTTTCTCTTTGCCTTTTTTTAAAAGCGTCTTTTCATAAATTTCCTCAACTTCTGAGAGTTGTTCTTTAATCGATTTTACTTCAGTATGTTCCGTGCTCGTAGTAACATCACCCACACTAGAAACCGAGGCCGCTATAGCTTTTTCGGTAACACCGATCGGAAACTCTTCAGTCATATCAGCCGCTGATCCGTACATACTTGGTGAAAATAATAGTTCACTTCCTAGACATGTTTCTTGTGTCTGAACGTAATTACATACAGCAGGTTCTTCTTTTATCACGCATACATTTTCGGATGTGGGAGAAAGTAAGGATTCTATCACTTTTGTTATGGCCGTTAAAATTTTTACTGGACCAGCTGGCTTTTCAATAATAATAATGATTTATTAGTAATATAAAACAATTATAAAACAATTGTATTCATTTTATAATGTTCAATCCAATTGTTTGTTTTTATTTTATTTTTATTTTTATTTGTTTTTACCTTCGATATAACAACAGCAAATCGGACTTTATACTTTTGTAATATATTCTCCGCATTTTGATAATCTTCAATCGTTGAAAAGAACACTATTCGTTGTTTCTTCTCATCCTTATGTTCTCGCCCTACATTTTCGTCACCTCCTTCCTTAATACCTTTCACAGGTTTATAACATTGTACAAACTCGTCCAAAAACCACTCCAAATCACTAAGACTATCATTTAAAATCACAACGTCCACATGCTCTTTCTCAAACTCAGCCTTCAATTCTTCCTTTTTTATTAATCGATATTTAAATTCCCATTGATCCAAATAATGTGTTATTCGTCGCAGAAATTCAGTATTTTCGGATTTCAGTACAGCAAAGGATAAAGACTGTGAATAAGATATCAATTGTGATTGTTTTTCGTAGGAAAGTAGTAGAAATTGATGATCAAATGGGAATTGGCAAGGGACAAGGGAATCCCATCTTTGAGATAAAGGAAGTTCTAGAATAAAAGAGAATTTACTGCCTTCTCCAACATTTGATTCAACTTCTATACAGCTATGCATCATATCCAGTAGACCTGTTTAATGACTTATTAATTATTTTTCTTTGTTTTTTTATAACTATTATATTCTTTTACCTTTAACGATACTAAGACCTAGTCCTGTTCCCTCAAATTTTCTACGCAAAGATGAGTCTTCCTATTTCTAAAAGATTAGTTTACAAAAAAGTCAATGCAACTATAATATTAGTTTTAACAAACCTGAGAAAACGGTCGACACATATGACACATAAAATCAGGATCAATTCCGGGTCCAGTATCAGTTACTTCTATTCGAAACTTAATTTTTTCTAATTCTGAATTATATTCATCACTATCTCTAACCTCACTTTCGGATGACAATGAAATCTTTTTTTTATTATCTTGTATAGACTCAATTTCATCAGTTAATTCGACAGTAATTAGTTCGACATCTCCTTCATCAGTGAACTTAATCTGTGATTAAACAAAATGATAAGAATCAAATTTTCTTTGTTTTCAATCCAATTAATAGACCTTTATACGTACGGCATTTCCAAGAAGCTATCATTAGATCAACATTGTTCACATGAAATCAATTTATTTTATTATTATTATTTTTTTTCTTTCACGAAAAAGTACTTTCAAAAAAGAAAAGTAAATAAAATAAAATAAGTTACATTCAATATGATTTGCCTTAAAACTCCAACATCCCCAACAAGAAATCTATGCATCGAATTCATTTTTATATATATATCGAAATTCAGTTTTTTCCGCTCAGAAATTGGTGCCAATGCTATTTATTAAAAAGAGATTCAAGTTTTTTTTTTAAACCAAAAAAAAAAAAAAAGAGAGAGAAAGAGAAAAAAGTGATTAAAATACTTCAACAAACCATCCCCGATTTCTTGCATTACTGAATAAATATCGAATGTTTTGTTTTCCTTTGCCACAAATCTTAGTTAGTACGAGAATGTAGTGATTGTTTAAATATATATTGATTTTAAAAATTACTAGTTCCATTTTGCCATGTTCAATTTTTGCGTATGTCAATACTTGATTAACTACCTATATAGTTGTAAATAATGGTGTTATAAAAAAAAAGCCAAGGATGAAATTATCACTTAAAATAAAAGGAATGAGGGAAAAAAAAAACCGAGATTAAATTCGTTC